AATATATATATATATATATATATATATATATATATATATATATATAGGCATTTCAAAGTCTGTATTTGTGTGCATAAAATGTCTGGGAAAAAAACATTAAACTTCAACCTTCCATTATCTTAGGGAATAGGGGACTCCTAAGGGCTTTCTCTATTTACTTGGCATATATTTTAACACAGATAATTATATTACAACTTAACTGAAAAGTTTTTGAAGAAAAGCAATACAATACAGAGTGTTATTTATGGTAAGTGTAAAGACAGCCACCAACTGTATGAAAGTAGAGAGGAAGGGAACATATGGTGGTGGGTTATGAAGTCTTCCTAGAGTTAAGTGTCAGGAGCTGAACATAAAGGAGAAATAGGGCATTAACCTAATGATAGTTTCTTAACCTCACTGATGTATATAGTAAGGAAAGCAAAAATGAGCGTGAGTGCACGCTGCTTGTTACCTGTCATTACTTCTCCAACGTGGTCTTCCTCTCATTCTTGGCCATCACTGGCCCCTGTCTAGGCTGCCTTGAATCTAAGTTACCCGCGGAAGTAACTTTGCTCATCTTCCCCAACCACTCTGCGGGCTTCTGGAGTAAGGAATCAAGTTCAGATGCATCTCTATGTCCCCAGCACCCAGAACTCAGCCTGGCCCATAGGAGCTCAATAAATGTTGGCAGGATTACACTGAATCAAAGGAAAGGAGTCAGTCCCGTCCATAAGCACGATTTTAATTAGCCTTGGCGGCCCTACAAGGAAGAAAATAATCAAACGGAGTCCATTCCTGAGATTGAACAAGTGACAGCCCTGGTGACTCGGGACTGCCATAGGCAAGTTCCCCAGGGGGCCAAAAGGGCTAAAAGCGGCTCAATCCATTTCTGAATGCGAGGGGAAGGGGGATCAGGACCAGTGCCCTTACACCCCGGGAGCCCCGGTGACTGCAGCACGGGGCGCAGGTGGAGAGAAGAGAGACGGACAGGATTCACAGTCTACTCACGCCCGGGCAGCCCCGGCTCTTCCCGCTGGGTCGCGGGCGGGAACGAGACCCACCCGCGAGGGACCTGCAGCTCCGGGAAACCGGCGTTGCGAGTACTTCGGAAACGGGAGGACAGCGTCGCACCCATCAACAGGTGGACGCTCCAGGTGGCTTCCGGGACCCTCCTCCTGCTAAGCCCGGAAGCCTCCTCCAGGCAGCCCACCAGAGACATAAGACTTAAGAACCCTCCGCCCCCGCACCTAAAAAAAACTCTGCAAGAGTACACCCACGACAGTCCAGAAACTCCCCCTGGGGTAAGCAAAGGACCACGTGGAGCTCGGGGAAATTACGTGCTGCGGGAGGGGAATGAGTAGGCGCTGCGAATGCGTCCCCACCTCTGCAAAGCCGCGACTCCAGCGCGCCGCAGAGACGAAACCTATTTCCGCCGCGGCTTCCAGCAGGGCCCCCCCGCGCGGCGGACAGCGGGGACGACGCTCCCGCCTGAGTCCCACTGCGGTCGTGCGCAACTCCCGGACCGCAAGGGGCCCCCCACCGCTGCAGACTCACCTTCGAAAGCGGGTGCCAGCTAGTAAGTAACACAGTGTTAAAGAGAAGTGCAAATGTCAGTTAAAAATAGAAAATAGAAAACGTTTAGTCGTTAGAAAAAGCCATTTTAATCAGGACGTCCATCCTAGAAGCTGTAAGAAAGACAGGTGTTACCATGAAAACTCCTCCACGGCAAACCTTCAAAATTCCCCTCCAGTCCTGAGGCTTTTCTTTTCTTTTTTTCCTTTGTAATTTTGGAGTTAAGCCAAATTTTCTCCCAATGCATTTTTTTTTTTTAAAGATTTTATTTATTTGACACAGAGACACAGCGAGAGAGGGAACACAAGTAGGGGGAGTGGGAGAGGGGGAAAAGCAGGCTCTCCGCTGAGCAGGGAGCCGGATACGGGGCTCGATCCCAAGGCTCTCCCGGGACTCTGGGATCATGACCTCGGCCAAAGGCAGACGCTTAAGGACTGAGCCACCCAGGCGCCCCCAATGAAACTTTTTTGTAAAATTATTTAGAGGGAAAATACCAAAAATTCTGTCCCTCTTCTCTGCAGTATCTTACCTAAAGTAGGTCAAGCCCACCAGAGCCCAGTCTTAGTTTTAGATTATCCAGGTTTGTCCGTGTCCGAAACACGCGACACAGCGCTCTCCCTACTGGAACTGAAGTCTCATAGCGTAAATAAATTTCAAATGTCAACAAATGAAAATAATTGGAGAGGGCTTTAGAGCCCTTACTAACCCACGCCCTACTCATTTCCTGTTCTCTAGAACAAAAACAGACCTCCCTGGCCTTTGTTCTATTGCATTCCCCTGTTAATGTTTAAAAAGAACATGTCCTGTCCAAATCCGGACACCATCAAGCAGGAACATCTTGAAATCAACTTAACGTTTTTTTTGTTTTGAGGTTTTTTGTTTGTTTGTTCTGAAGAAGGGGAAAGGCTGGGAGCCGGGAACGAGTCTATCTATGTTAAGGCTTTACAAAACTCTTACCAGTCATGCCAAACTTTAGCAAAGAAGTTGCCCTGCAGTTTGCTGAAATACATCTTACACTGCTGTGCAAAACAACCCGGCACTATTTCGCCCGGCTACCGCAGTAGAGTAAAAATTGCAGGCCAGGCCAGCTACCACCGTGGAGCAGCAACAGTCTTCCTTCTCATCAGCTTTCCGAAAGGCGGCTGCCGAACCTTTGAACAGTTTGCCCCAGAAGTGAGGGCGCCCCAGGAACTCTCAGGGTTATTTTAAGCAACGTTTACACGTCCTCCCGAGCTGCGGTGTGGGGCAAGAACCCGGTGCGCGGGGGCGCGCTGGACAGCATCCGGGCTTCCTGCTGCCTCCTGGGGCCCACCTGAAATCTGGGGTGGGGGGAGCCTGTTTGTCTGGAGGTTTGTCCCGGGGCTGCCCCTCCCTCCGCCTGCACCTGTCCCTGCCCCACACACAGCAAATGAGGACCCTAGGGACTGAGTCATCATCTCCTGGAAAGCCCACTTCTCCCTAACCCCTGCTCTGGCACGGCCTGCCCCAGTCCAGTTCCGGGAAGAGTTATTGCAGGAGAAGCTGGGAGGGGCGGGAGAGGCGACGCCAGGGCCCCTCAGCAAAGGTTCTGGGATCGGGGGATGGTTGGGAAGGGAGCCAAGGGGGCAAGTCTGGGCACATACCGGTCGTGCTCACCTCGGGGCTCTTCTTAAGCTTCGCTGACAGTGACGCCTGAAAAATCCCCGGCAGGATGGGGAAAAAGAAACCGAAAGCCTAACCCTGCTAGGGGACGTGGCGTCTTCTAGCCCAGTCCCGCCTCCCTTGGCCTTTCTCATTTAAGACTTCTCTCCGGTTTACACTGAGAAATGTTGATGACCTACCCTTCACTGTGTCGGGCCCAGAGATCGCCCCGCACCACCTGATGAGGGAGGAGAAGGCTAGCTGAGGACAAAGTAGAAGGCGACATCCTACAACCCCCTCCCCCAGATGGGATATATGTGACATTACTCAGACTCCTGGCTGCCCTGAAGATAAGGAAAGGAAAAACCAATAGTTGACCTATAGAGATCACAATTCTGCTAGACAAGAGTCTCCCTCACTTTACAGTATGTCTTAGCAATTTATAAGAACAAAGCACTTCTACCAATAACCTAGTTTCCGGAAGGAAATGTAGGTGCAATTAAACGTCCGCATAACCTGTACCCCATTGGCAGACACCTGAAGCGGGCGCGGCAGAATGTAATGTTCCGCCAGGAACCTCCCCAACCTTCTTCCTGTTACTGCCTCGCTAGAAGAAAAAACAACCTTGATTGACAATGGCAAGGCCTCCGGGTATCCTGTGAGTCTTTTTTAGCATAGGAAAATCCTTTTAAAACCCTCCTTTTCCTTGGTATAGTGTGAGCTCACCAACCTCATAGTATATTATCAGCCGCCCCTCACAACCCCAGGACAGCACCTCTCTCTGCCCACGGGTCCTGTCCCCGGGCTTTCATAAAAACACCATTTTGCTCCAAAGACGTCTCAAGAATTCTTTCTTGGCCCTGGGTTCCCGACCCGCACTCTGCTGAACCTCACCTACATTCCAAAACCCCATCCCTCCCACTCACCAAATGAGTCCCTTTGAATTAAAACACTCCTGTGCCACAGCCTCACTACCATGTAGGAAAGAACCCCAAAATGTGTCCCTTTAGCATGTGGATAACTTTAGGTGATTTTTAAAAAATTTTTATTATTTTTTATTTTTATTTTTTTATTTATTTTTATTTTTATTTTTTATTTTTATCTGAACATTTTAGGTCCCTGTAACTGTGTAGAAGAACACAGGTGTAGGACCTGCTCTGGGCAGGAAGGTGTCTGACCATAGTCAACTAAAGTATAATATGAACTAGGTGTTTTAGACAGGGAAGAATTTAGCAAAGTCTGTTTGTTAAAATTCCTCTCTAGGTCCCATTGTTTCTGTGCAACTGGCAAACATTTGTTTACCAAACATTTACTCTTTCAACTTCCTGTGAACCATCTTCCTTCCCTTTGAAGTCCCAGACCTCTGACCCCTTCTCCTGACCTCTGGATAACAGATAAGCCTCAAATGCCTGATTTACCTGATAGGAAGGCAAATAAATTTTATGTTCTCCTGTTAATCTGTCATGTGTCAATTTAATTCCTAGACCAGACAAGAGAACCCTGAAGGGTAAAGTGAAATTGTCCTCTTTCTCAGTAACTGGATATGCTCTGAACTCAGGACGTTTGTTTGAAGTAGTTGTGGTTGTCAGGTAAGCACTGCTAGTGTTTGTTATCAATGCATGGGAATAAGAATAAATAGCAAAAAGGGGCGCCTGGGTGGCTCAGTGGGTTAAGGCCTCTGCCTTCAGCTCAGGTCATGATCCCAGGGTCCCGGGATCCAACCCTCACATCAGGATGTCTGCTCAGCCGGGAGCCTGCTTCCTCCTCTCTCTGCCTTCCTCTCTGTCTTCGTGTAATCTATCAAATAAATAAAATCTTTAAAAAAAAGGAATTAAAAAAAAAGAATTAAAAAAAAAGAATAAAGGGGCGCCTGGGTGGCTCAGTGGGTTAAGCCGCTGCCTTCGGCTCGGGTCATGATCTCAGGGTCCTGGGATCGAGTCCCACATCGGGCTCTCTGCTCAGCAGGGAGCCTGCTTCCCTCTCTCTCTCTGCCTGCCTCTCTGTCTACTTGTGATCTCTGTCTGTCAAATAAATAAATAAAATCTTTAAAAAAAAAAAAAGAATAAATAGCAAATGTAAAAGCACTTTACATTTTAATCTATTTATTCCTAATAACCATTTTCTTGCCTTTTTTAAAATTTCTTAACTTTTCAATTCAATTTAAGCTCATGGGAAAGTTACAAGAATACCGCCAAGAGATTAACTACTGGCATGACAACATGAGGAGCTCAGGTTACCTACTCCCTAGTGAAACGGATGAAAATTATTTTTTTATTTTTTATTTTATTTTTTTTAAGATTTTATTTATTTATTTATTTGGCAGACAGAGATCACAAGAAGGCAGAGAGGTAGGCAGAGAGAGGTAGGGAAGCAGGCTCCCCACTGAGCAGAGAGCCCGATGCGGCCTCCATCCCAAGACCCTGGGATCATGACCTGAGCGGAAGGCAGAGGCTTTAACCCTCTGAGCCACTCGGGCACCCGTTTTTTACTTTTTAGAGCCAGAGCTTGCATATGCGTGGGGTCAGAGGGGGTAGAGGGTGAGGGAAAGAGAATCCCAAGAGAGAGCCCCATCTTGGGGCTCCATCTCATGATGCCAACTGAGATCATGACCTGAGCCAAAATCAAGAGTCCTATTATACTCTACCAACTGAACCACCCAGACGCTCCTGATGAAGATCATTTTAAAACAAGCAAGCAAGCAACAATCATTTAAAGCCTTGGAAATAGTCCTAAGAGAGAAGAGCAAATGAAAAAACATCTATTCAAGAAAATCTATGAACATTTGATAAGAAAAGTGAGTGAGAATCTGTGGTATTTCGGTCAAGACCACCTGACAGCCCACCCCACCCCCACCTCAGCAGAGACCCATCTGCTGCAGTCAAGAACACAGGGCCTCCTCTCCCCACAATCCCAGTGGGAGAAGCAGGATGTCCGCAATTCTCACCCTGCCCCTAGCCGCCTGATACTGAGGCTAAATTCAAGGTTAAGTGTGGTTCAGAGATGGAGGATCCTTTTCCAGAGAGGACCTACCTTGGCCAAGAGTGCTGGAATACTATGGTCCTAAATCACCCTTAAATCGGCTTCTGAGGTGGTAGTTCTGTTGCAAGATTTCTTCTCCTTTGGTGCCCTAGGTTCTTGCTCCTGCCAATTGTAAGAATAAAGAGGCAGACCAATGGAAGAGCTGTGGACCCCAAAGCCAACTTTATTGACGGTAGGAAGCTCACGAATAGGGAGGGAACCCGAGAACTCTTTGGTATTGGCTGTTTTGATCTGATAAGCCCCTCCCCCACACTCCTGTCACCCAATCAGGCTTTTATACACGTGCCCATCTACCTATCAGGTAGATGTTCACGTGAGAAAAGGTAGCGGGCTCCTCCCAGACCTGTGTTTGGTAGCCTGGGGGACCAAAAGGGCTGTAGACCCCCAGATCTAGCTCCTTGTTTAAGTGTCCCACGGTTAATGAGCAGCTCCCCCCACCTCCCACCTGGGTTAAAAGGAGCCTGGGTGGCTCAGTCAGTTAAGTGTGTCTGCCTTTGGCTCAGAGCATGATTCCAGGGTCCTGAGATCCAGCCCCGCATTCTGGGATGGAGCCCCGCATTCTGGGATGGAGTCCCACGTTGGGCTCCCTGCTCAGCAGGAATCCTGCTTCTCCCTCTGCTCCTCTCCTCGCTCCTGCTCCCTTTCTCATAAATAAATGAAACCTTAAAAAAATAGCCTAGGAAAAACATCAGTTTCCTAAAGCTACGAATAGGAATGGCTCACCAAACCCTGCAGCTATATCCCAATACTAGATGGTATCTGTCTTGCGTAGTCCTAAACTGGTTAAAGTAAAACAGCTCTACCGTCCCAAAGGCGCCGCGGCCGATACTGCACGTGCTGTCGCTGCTCTTCAAACCGGATATGTACTCATTGGGTGTTAGAAAACTCCTGATTTCTTCCCCCAAGCCCAACATGCCTAGCCCATCCTTTTTTCTCCAGTCACAGCCTGGGATCCAATGCTTAAATTCAATATTGCATCTGTTGTACTGAACGGGGCTAAAGGATCTGATTCTGTGTACTATCTATGTCAGAATACAGTGTATATTGCCATACAATGTAACAAAACTGTGCAACAAACTATCTAAGTATCATACCAGCTAAAATACCGAATAAACTATGAACAGTGAAAAAAAATAGAAATACCGTAATATCCAGTAATTCCACTGCTGGGTACTTACTTAAAGAAAATGAAAACACGAATTCAAAAAGATA